AAACTAACCTTCAAGATAGTATAAAAACTTTTTAGGTCCTAAAATAATTTTAAAAGGTTTTAGAACAAATTTTAAGTTTGTAAAATAAATTATAAGGTTGTAGAATATACTATATAAGGTTACTAAATTCCCTTCAAGAATGTAGAAAAAATTTTAAGGTTGTAAAATAACCTTCGAGGTTGTAAAATTAATTTGAAGGTTCTAGAACAAACTTTAAGGTTGTAAAAATATTATTTTAGGTTGTAAAATAATCTACCAGGTTTTTAAAGTATTCTTTTAGGTTGTAAAATTAATTTGAAGGTTCTAGAACAAACTTTAAGGTTGTAAAATATTTTTTTAGGTTGTAAAATTAACTTGAAGGTTGTAAAAATATTTTTTTAGATTGTAAAATAATCTACGAGGTTTGTAAAATAAACTTGAAGGTTCTAGAAAAAACTTTAAGGTTTTAAAGTATTTTTTTAGGTTGTAAAATAAACTTGAAGGTTGTAAAAATATTTTTGTAGGTTGTAAAATATTCTACGAGGTTTGTAAGTATTCTTTTAGGTTGTAAAATATTTTTTTATGTTGTAAAATAAACTTGAAGGTTGTAAAAATATTTTTTTAGGTTGTAAAATAATCTACGAGGTTTGTAAAGTATTCTTTTAGGTTATAAAATAAACTTGAAGGTTGTAAAAATATTTTTTTAGATTGTAAAATAATCTAGGAGGTTTGTAAAATAAACTTGAAGGTTCTAGAAAAAACTTTAAGGTTGTAAAGTATTTTTTTAGGTTGTAAAATAAACTTGAAGGTTGTAAAAATATTTTTTTAGGTTGTAAAATATTCTACGAGGTTTGTAAAGTATTCTTTTAGGTTGTAAAATATTTTTGTATGTTGTAAAATAAACTTGAAGGTTGTAAAAATATTTTTTTAGGTTGTAAAATAATCTACGAGGTTTGTAAAGTATTCTTTTAGGTTATAAAATAAACTTGAAGGTTGTAAAAATATTTTTTTAGATTGTAAAATAATCTAGGAGGTTTGTAAAATAAACTTGAAGGTTCTAGAAAAAACTTTAAGGTTGTAAAATATTTTTTTAGGTTGTAAAATAAACTTGAAGGTTGTAAAAAATATTTTTTTTAGGTTGTAAAATAATCTACGAGATTTGTAAAGTATTCTTTTAGGTTGTAAAATTAATTTGAAGTTTCTAGAACAAACTTTAAGGTTGTAAAATATTTTTTTAGGTTGTAAAATAAACTTGAAGGTTGTAAAAATATTTTTTTAGGTTGTGAAATAATCTACGAGGTTTGTAAAGTATTCTTTTAGGTTGTAAAATTTATTTGAAGGTTCTAGAACAAAATTTAAGGTTGTAAAGTATTCTTTTAGGTTGGAAAATAAACTTGAAGGTTTGAAAACAAACTTTAAAGTTGTAAAATAATCTTCGAGGTTGTAAAGTTTTCTTTTAGGTTGTAAAATAAACTTAAAGGTTCTAAAACAAGCTTTAAGGTTGAAAAACTTTCTTTTAGGTTGTAAAATAAACTTGAAAATTCTAGAACAAAATTAAAAATTTCAGAATATCCTTTAGGGAAGTAAAACAAATTCTAAAATTCTAACCTTCAATATTTCACAAGAAAATTGAATGTTTTTAAACCTTCAAGGTTGTAAATTAAATTTTAAGCTTCTAGAACAAACTTTAAAAATTTAAAAACAAACTTGAAAAGTTATAAAAATAAATTACAAGCATGCAAAATAACCTTCAAGGTTGTACGATAATCTTTACTGGATTTATAGATCAACTTATTTTTTGTTGCCGGCACTAAAGAAAATTCAATTCTTTCCTCATTCAAAAGAAAAGTATTTTCAAAAATTAATTCCTATATATAAAATGGATTATCACTGAGTAACTTTTTTCTTCCCCTCCAATTTCTCGCGAGTCATAAGATTAAAAATCTTTTCCTGATAATACAAAGGATAAGCTCCTAGATCGAGAGTGAAAGAGGAAAAGAGAGAGAGAAAGGGGGGGGGGGAGAGAGAAAAAAGCAAAAAGCTGCATTCGCTTGCCAGCAAAAGGAGTGCCCAATATGCCATAAATCGTGGCGCGATAAATATTTATATTCGCGCTTGATTTCGCTGAAATATTCATGACTTCCATTTCTTTTTATTTAGTTTTTTCTGCAATTTTCAGCGTGAACTCGCGAGTACGTCTCTCTCTCTCCCTCTCTCTCTTTCTCTCTCTTTCTCTATATTCGAATGCAGGAAAAATCGGTGAAAAGCAACTCATCGACGGCTGAACGATGAAAATTCGATTTAGAAGGCGGATTCGATTGTCACTCTTGAGCCTCTAAAAGATCGATTTAACGAGAGAGTGGAAAGAGAAAGAGAGAAAGAGAATTGGGAATCATCTACTTTGTCGTCAATAAAGGTTAAACAATTTTTATTATTCTCAAAAAAAAAACAAAAAATAGGATTAAAATTTAGGTCAAATGTAAACCGTGGATTTTTTGAAAAATCATAAAGGATGAAACAAAATTTTCATCTCTATGGTTTTTTTTTCTGCTTTTTCGAATGGTGTAAAAGTTTTTTAAAAAAAAACTAAAATTTACCCCTTTTTTTGAAAATTAAAAATATTTTTAATTTTTTTTTTTTAAAAGGATAAATTTGAATTTTTGAAAAAAATTTCACTTCAGAAATTTTGTATTGTTGGAATTTTACACCAGTGACGTTAAATTTACGACTGTCTTTATTTAGGATCAGGAGTCTTTTGTATATTACATACAGCCAACCAAAGGAAGGGGTTGAAAGAAAGAAAAAAAAAAAAAAGAATCCTTTCAGAATGGGTATCTGGCTACATTTACATTTTCCAATAGTAACCATACGACTTCAATTCTCAGATTGATTTCATCAATGCGCGCCTTTGTCAAGTAACAATCTCTTAGATTGAAAGAAATTGCATTATTTCCCTTTATATATAAATATACTAGAATACACGCGGTTTATGGTAATTTGGAAGTAAACGAAGGTTTCAAATTTCATATACAAATAATAAAAGAAAAAAAAAAAAAACTAAAAATGAAAAATAGCAAACAAAAAGTAATAAAATTAAGAAAGTGGAAAATTGAAAAAATACACACACACACGTACACAAAATAGAAAATGGTAAATTTGAAAATCTGAAGTGATTTGAGAAAAAAAGAGTATATATAATAAAAAAGGAAAATCCTAGAAAAAGAAAGTGTAAAAACTAAAAAAAAAAAAAAAAAAAAGGTGAAAAATAAAACGAAATTGGAAAATTGAGAAAAAAGGTTCAACTTTTAAAGAAAGGAATATTAAAGACGATGCGGTGAAATAGAAAAATAATTTAAGGATAAATAAAAAAAAAATTTAATATTGTATATTATTTTAACGTTATTTTCTTTAAAGAATTAGTAAAAAATTTTCCCGAATTTGAATTAGTCATTTTACATTTTGCTTTTCAGGGTGTCTACTAAAAATCTGAATTAAAATTCCAGGACAAATTTCTTATTTTTCCAGGACATTAAATTGGATGATCTTAAGGAAGAAAAACATTTTTAGTTTAACTATTGTTTTCAGAAATTATTAAAAAAAAGTAATAAATCACTTAAGTAAATTTTCATTTTACTTATTTAATGAATTTTTTTTAACTTGATTGACAAAATTATAAATTTTTGGAAAATTTAAAAGCAAAATATAAAAAATTCAAGGACAAAAATTAAAATTCCAGGACTTTCAAGGACATTCCAGGACATTTTTTCAAATTCCAGGACATTTCCAGGACTTCCAGGACTAGTAGACACCCTGTTTTTTAGTTAATAAATTAATAAAAATTATAAAGTTAATTTTACTAATATTCGATAGTGCAAATTTTTTTTTTCTACAATTAGTTAAATTTTACTAATCCAAAAGCAAAAATTGAGTCACTAATTTAAATTAGTAAGAACATGGGAAAAAAATGTAGCTGAAACCAAACAGAAAAAGGTTTCACTATAATAGCGAAAGATTTAATTGAAACAAGTAAAACTTTAGCTACAGTAGCAAAACGTTTAGCTGTTTCAAATAAATCCTTTTTTCCGTGGCACAAAAATTACAACTTTTTTTCAATTCCGGATTTTTGACAATATTTCTCAAATTATATATATATGGTATGTTAGAAGACAATATGTGGTTGTGTTTTTTGTGTCACCTTTTTTTTTTTTTTAGTAAAAATGTTCACACAAATGACGAGTGCTTGGGGATTGTGTATTAATGATGCGCAGTGGCGAAAAAAAAAAAATTCAATGGGTAAACATGGCATATTCATTAAAAACGAAAAAGCAGAAAAAAAATAGAGAAAAGAAAAAAAATCGATCACAACATTCATATGGTCCAGTCGTTTTTCACGGCTTAATATGGCAAAATGCCAGGAACGTGTTGACGTTCCTCAGGCCTGAATTCAGACGGTCGTTTCAAGATTAAGAGTTCGCGACCTAGACACGCCAGAATTGCCACATTATATAGATCGCGCCAACAATTGCCAATTTTCACATTGCCGAAAAAATATATATTTTTTTTTTCTTTTTCAAAAAACTATATTGATATATGTCTTTTTTTTAATTAATTAAAATATACACACTGAAAAAAAAATATTTTTTTGTCCTACCTGCACGGAAAGTGTGTTATTTCGTGCACTTGAGGCGGTCGCAAAGTAAGTGATTCCCGCCCAGAGATGGGGTGAGCGGGCGCAAAGTACATTCGCGCCCGCTGACGTCATAGATGCGGGCGCAAAGTACATTCGCGCCCGCTGACGTCATAGAAGCGGGCGCAAAATACATTCGCGCCCGCACCATTAAAAAATGTATTGTTTTCATTTTTTGTGACATAATAAACATACGTAAACAACTACATGTAATTTACCTTAAGTATATTATCTTCCCAACCCTGATGGAACATTGAAACAAGCGGACAGTTATATTCCGTGTTTCTTAACTTGGTTCAGTTCCGTCCAAATGTTCCGAAAGTTGACAGTTTGCGTCAACTCGAGTTATTATTAATATCGTTAATATTAATATTAACGTTGTTATTAATATCGTTATTATTAATATAAAAAGTTGAGTAAAAGTTTATGTCGTTTGCCGGTAGTTACAAGAAAAGAAAAAATATGAATGATTTCGAGGAAAATAATAATAATGAGATTCTTACGCCACCGGAACTTCGTGAAATAGTGAACGAGATTCAAGATGATTTGCTGCCTGCGATTTCTAAAGAAAAGTATAACAATAAATATTTGGCGTTTAAAAGCTGGACAGAATCGAAAAACGTTAAAACCATCACAGAAAATGTGATGATACCTTATTTTATGGAATTAGCAGAAAAGTATAAACCTCCCACGTTGTGGGCAACGTACTCAATGTTGAAATCAACTTTAAAAAATAATGACAATGTAAACATTGCAAAGTTCTTAAAGCTGACAACTTTTCTTAAAAGAAAATCTGAAGGATATAAGTCTAAAAAATCGAAAATTCTCTCTCCAGAGAACATTAATACATTTCTCTCAGAGGCTCCGGATGAAATATATTTGGCAACAAAAGTAAGTAAAAATTTGAATTTAAAAACAAAAACTCAAAATACGTCAGATAAATTATTAAAAACTTAGTCACTATACAGCATGCAAGAATATTTGAATAAATAAAATAAGGATATAAATAAATTCTTAAAAACATAAGTAAACAATAAATTCTATACAATAAAAAATTAGTTATTATAAATATACAAAGTATTTACATTATATATATAAAACTATTAACTATAAATCTTTTCAGGTTGCTTTAATATTCGGCATTAATGGTGCGTGCAGAAGGGAGGAGCTATCTAACATAAAAATGGAAGATGTTCAACACGAGGGTAATCTTCTCCTTATACAGATTCCTAATACAAAAACAAAAGTCCCAAGATCCTTCACTGTGGACGGAGAATTTAGAGATATTGTTCTCAAATACGAAGCTCTTCGACCAAAAAAAACCGACTGCAGCCGATTTTTTCTTAAATTACAAAAAGGAAAATGCGTAAATCAAGTCATCGGAAAAAACAAATTCGGCAAAATGCCAAGTGAAATCGCAACGTATTTAAAACTTGAAAATCCTGAACTTTATACTGGACACAGTTTCAGGCGAACATCCGTTACATTGTTAGCTGATTCTGGTGCTGATTTAATAACGCTCAAACGCCACGGAGGATGGAAATCCTCAACTGTTGCTGAAGGTAATGTTTAAATATTTCTCCATCTTGATATAAAATTTATTGTATTAGAGCAGATTTTTATAAATTATAATTTGAAATTAAAGGTACTTAGATTTTCGACCAAAGTAGATAATTTTTTATATTTTCTTCAAAGTAATACGTGTTTATTGACTTTCTCGCAAATTTCGTTTTTTAGGTTACATTGATAATTCAACAAATTATAAGCGAAAAATTGGAAACCAGATTGAGGCAGCGATTAATTTACCCTCATCTAGTGGCACACAAATATGCAAGGAAACCGCAAAAGCATCTTTAAAAGACCAAATACCAAATAAGAAAAAAAAGATAGTCCACCAAATTGAAACGGCTGCCAATTCGGATTTATTGAGAACTTCTAACACAGTTCAAGAAACTAACGAAATCCCGCAAACTATTGAAAACAATTATTCTTCGCAAATCAGTAGCTCTCAAGAATTAAATAATCAATCTATTACCTACAATATAACAAATTGCACAGTTAAAATTTATAATTAAATAATTGTCTTCCACAACACTCGTCAGTGGTGTTTTATTATTTTCGATTTTTTATCTCGAATACTTATTAATTTTTTAATTAAATTTATTAAGTAGTTAACAATGATTTAATAATTTATAATTTCAGATTAGAATTTTGTAATTCTATGTTTTTTTAAAAAGTAAAGAAGAAATCATTTAAAAATATATCAATTTTGTTATCAATTGCTGTAAAGACAAATAAAAATTATAGACAACTAAAACCTGAACTTAATGCAAAATATTAAAACCTTGTTTAATTTTTATTTTAAAGAATTTTAATTTTTAAATTACTTTATAAACTAAAGATTGTCCTGCCCCCCCTCTAAGCCACCTAAAAAGATACAGTGTACCTGACCCCCAGGAGTAATTAATTTGGATGGATTAATTTTCAATTGCTCAATAATACACTTTCCATGCAGACAGGACAAAAAATGTTGTTCGCAGCACGGGCGCAAAAGGTGATAGTGTCTCAGGCGAGATTATGAAGAAACCTCGGCGACCCTACGCACCCTCGGCTTCGCCTCGGGCGCTTCGGGTCCCCTTGGTTTCTCTAATCTCGCCTTCGCCACAATCACCTATTTTGCGCCCTTGATACGAAAATAACTAATTTGATTCAAATACTTAATTACTTAACTATTATCAAATAAATATTTACTTGAACAAAATAATTTTTATTTGAATTCAAATAAATTGTATTTGAACCAAATAATAATTTTTGTATGTGAATTCAAATAAATTGTATTTGAACCAATAATTTTTGTATTTGAAACAAATATACCATTTCAAATAATAATTATTATATAAATATTTATTTGATAATAAAGTAACTGATTATTTGAATTAATATTTTTTCCATTGCATAAAATTAGAATAAACTGACAATAATTTCCAAACATTATTAAAAAAAAATTTCAAAACGAAATGCCACAGTATTACCAATTGTTGAAATGAATTATTTACCAAGAAATTAAAATATTTACCTTTAATATAAGGAATTTTCAGCTTCAATGAGATTTTCTTTCAAACTAAATAGCCCTCGGAGATCCCTATATACATTCAAGTTAAATTTCCATTTGGAAAATGTGAAAAATAACCGTAAAAATAGACCGAGTTCTAAAAAGTCTGAATATGATGAATTTGGTGTCCTTTCAGGTATCCTTATTTACTTTTTGCCCTTATCTTTTAAGTGACATTACAATAGCCATTGAGAATAGAATCTGCAAAAAGAAAAATTAAAATTAAAAATTTTTTATTAATAAAATTAAGAAATAAAAATTAAGAGATTGAATACCATGAATTTATGGCGGTGACTGCTTCGATAAAATACAGTGAATTTAAAATAAAAAAAAAACTTCACTGAATTGAATGAAAATACTGTTCCACTTGTACCATATACTATTTTCAATTTACTCTCGAATGTGACGACAAAAAAAAATGAAATTCTGAAAAAAAAAGAAAATCTACAATTAAAAATTTTTTATAAATAATCATTTTTTTCATTTATAAGAAATTGGTAATAATTAATTAATAATTAATCAATTTATTAATAATTGATTAATGTATAATTGATTATAATTTATATATATATTAATATATTAATTATAATTGTGATTATAATTTATTTATATTAATATACAATTACAATTAATTATTTTTATAATAATTATTGTAAAATTAATAACTATTTTTTATTATAAATTATTATAATAATTATTATAATTATCGATTATTAATTTCTAATTATTTTAATATTAAATATAATATAATTTATAATTTTACGATTCAAAATATCCAATTTTTAATTCTTTTATTTAAAATACTGGAAAATAAAATTTTGTTATTTAAAATCGTTTATATATTATATTTACTATAATTAATTTTATTATTTATTTATTATTTTGGTTATTATAGTATTGTTTATTATTATATTATAATAATTATTATTATTATATTATTATTATTATTATTATATTATTATTTTTTTTTATTATTATATTTATATGAAAATACTAAAAAAATCTGTTTTTTTATTGTATTATTAATTTCATTTACTAATTTAATTATTCATTTTAATTTTTTATTTACATTATTTCATATCTTTATTTCAAAAATTTTTTTTTTTTTAATTTATATTATTTACTACTATTATATATTTAATTTTATAATATTATTAAATATTAATATTCTTTGTTTTACCATAAATTTAAATAAAGTAAAATTATGAAATAATATTATTTTATTAAATTTTTTATCTTTTTTTTTTTAACACAAAGTCTTACGAAATTTGATATATATATATATAAGTTTCTATATATCTGTTTTGTAAAAAACTCTATTTTAATTAAATTAGAAATCTAATATGTGAAAGAGAAAGAAAAAAAAATAAAAGTAAGTATATATATGAAATAAAATATTGCAAGCTCAGAAAGCACAATGCAGTGCAGAGCGTAAAATGTAATGCTTAGTAAATCCTCTTTTTTTCGCCTGGTGGTTATTCTTCGAGGATTTCTTTTTCTAGATCCATGATATTCTGTGGAAAAAAAAAGATGGAATCCCCAAGAGCTTCTATACCCACACCTTTCAATTTCTATTTCTGTTACTCTAACCTCAATTCAAAAACATCCCAAGACAATGATTTAAACATGTATATATATATAAAAAAAATTTCGTGCAAATTCGTTTTTAGAAAAAAAAAAAAATATTTTTTTTCAAAATTTTACTAACCTGTAAATATATTATGGAAATTATTCTAAAAAAAAATATTAAATGTAACTTTCTTTCATGTCGCATTTGGCAACGAGTTTCTTTTTATTATTTTTCCACACTTACGCCTATTTATATAATTAATTTTTTTTTTACAAATTTTCATTAAACAGAAATCATTTCACAGGTTATTACCACAACAATGTCAAGTAATTATATATTGAAACAAAAAATAAGTTTCGAACATAACCACCAAAAGCAAGCGGACGAAAGATAAAAGGTTTTTTCGTTTTTCAAATTAATTTTATGTATATTTGTGTCTATATGTATTTCGTATATATATATATATATACTTGCATTAAATCTCAGACAGACGAGAGGATAATCTTATAAACGGGAAAGTGAGCGTTGCATTAATCCTTTCGCTTTGGATCTCAAATAGAAACGCAAGTATATACCCTTTGCGCGACATTTAATAAACTCTCCCTCTCTTACTCGTTTTCCATAAAAATTCTCGCGGAAATCCGCATTCGATTATCTTATGGAATTACAATTAGAACTTATCCCCACTTTTCTCACTTTGATATGGAAAAAGAGATTTTTTTAACGCAAAAAATGCTCGGGATTATTGTAGAAGAAAAAAAAATCACTGGGAATTAATAGGATAATTAAAATCACGAATTCACTCTATAATAGGGATATGATCTCTACACTGAATACATTTTGATACCACATATTAACGTAATTGAATTTACATCAAGCAATTATCACGACAATTGTAAAATTAATATATCACTGCGATTATATCTGATTATTATTTTTATTATAATTATTATAATTATAATTATATAAATTATAAATAAAATAACATACCTTTGATAATGGACGAGTTCATCCTCTGGCCCTGCTGCCAGTTTGGAAAAGAAATTTTTTGAAGTTGGCATAAGTGAAATAGTCCAGTTTTTGTTATCTTGGGTTGGCACTTCTGCTGAATGCAAATGGCGTCGTCTGACAGTTGAAGAAACATGTGTCAAAAATATCATTTTGTTTAATATATTAGTAGCAAACGTTAAATTATTGATATTTTATAAATTATCGATATTATATTAGTTTATTGTCAGGCAAAAAGAAAAAGTACAAATTTTTAGAGAACACGAATGATTATCATCGGAATTTTAAGCAAGAAAAAAAGGTAAATATATAGAATTAAAATAATAATATACATTTTTTATTTTCAATAATGAATAATAAAAAAATAGGAGAAAAACGAATTGATAAAAAAGAAAAAAAATTGATCTTCTGTTGAAAGGGAATTTTTTTTTCATATATTGGTAAAAGTGAAATAGTTTAGTTTTTGTTATCTTGGGTTGGCACTGCTGCTCATTGCAAATGGCGTCGTCTGAGAGAGTAGAAGAACAATATATTTTGTTTGATATTTTTTTTCGTGTTAAATTATTATCACCGTAACGTTAATTATAAATATTTTACGGTAATTAAGTTTAATTTTATACTAATTATCGATGTATCATATATAAATTAATTGACAGGCGAAAAGAAAAGTATTTAGCTAATTTATTTTTTTTGACACGAAAACATAACCTGGAAAGATTAGCAGTGCAATGTCAAATAGGTAAATAATTCAAATAATAATACAAATTTTATTTTATTAATTATTGATAAAAAAAAAAATTTGGGAAAAACGAATAAAAAAAATAGGCCAGAGTTTTTTCATATTTGTAGAAGTGAATTTTTTTTTTTGGAATTTAGATTGGCATTACTGTTCATTGCAAACAGGGTCGTGACAACATATTTAATATAAGTTCTTTTTAATAATTACGCTAATTATACATATTTTTGTTAAGTGCATTTTTATATGAATAAAAATAAATAATCGAAAATGCATCAGTTTCGTTGTAGCTGTAAAGAAAACTAATAAAGTAAAAATCAGGTAAAATTTTTTTGACAAAAAATATTTTGGCATTATGATTTGTATATATTTTAATTTAATATTATCGCCGACAGATTTTAATTTTTTTATAAAAATGATATAAAAAAATTTATTAATAATTGGAAGAATAGTTAAATAATTATGAATAAAAAAAAATGGCTATACAATTAAAAATAGTTAAAAAAATTTCGAAGTTGGCAGAAGTGTAATTTTCGTTTAGGTTGTTAGCACTGTTCCACTATAGTGATAACATTGTAGAAAACTCGGTTAACTTTTGACTGTTACAGAAATATAATTCGTGAAAAATAAAAAATATAATCTTAATTATAAATTACAAAAATATATTTCAACAATTAAATTCAGTTTCATCTTAATATTAAAGAGATTAACTAATTTTTGTTGGTGAGTGACAGAATTTGTAATATTTTGTAAAATTTGATAACGTTTTCAAATTTAACCTAAAAAAAAAAAATTCATCTCATTTTTTTTTAACTCAACCAATTTCGTTTCGATTTTACCGGATATTTTTTCCATCGTATTTTATAGAGAGGAAATTTAAAAGCAAAATTTAATTAATATTAAAATTTATATCGTATATTTATTTATTTATTTATTTACAGAGATAAAAGATGGAATAAATTCATCAGAGAAGAAAAAAAGAAAAATATCGAACAATGCTAATTATTTCGGCGTCAATTCTTCTCAAAACAGGTAAATATTTTTTTACAAAAAACTAAAATTTTCAAATATTAAACATTTTTTTTTTTAATCTGAAAGTTTTAATTTTCTATTCATTATTATTGTTATTATTTTATTTATTTATTTCTGTAATAATTGAAATTTTTTTTAAATTTGATAAAATGATTTAATATTTATTTTTAAAAACTGTTTTTTGAAAAATTTAAACAATTTCTTTTGTTTATTTGTTTTTACAGAATTCAAACTTAGAGAAGAATTAAATAAAATTCATATCCATAAATGAGATGACAAAATAATGACGACAACTTCTAAAAAATCTTCAAATAAGTTAGTTTCTTTTTTTTTATTGTAAATATATATTAGTATAAGTTTTTTCTTATTTTGCTGCAGTAAATTTTATTTATTAATTATTAATCGCTTACAAAATTTATAATTTACACAGTTTTTGATTAAAATTAATCAATTAAATTAATTAATTTAATTAATAAGTAAATTAATTAATTTAATTAATTGTTCAATTAATTACATTTATGTTATTTTAATTTTGTTTTCAGAAATTTTTGTAAATTATTTAAATTTTTTATGTAAATTAATTTGTTTTTCTCGATTTATAGGTGTTCAAAACGAGAAGGATGGGTGTTTGTTGCGGAGCTGCTCCTGGAGGAGATCTTGCATAGCTGAGTCGCAGTTCAATGTATGTTTAAAAAATTTTTTTACCCTTAATTTTTGTATTTTAAAATATTAATTGATTTTTTTTAGCAAAATTTATATAATTAAATATTCAGAAATAATAGGTAACAACTGTTGAACATTTTTTTGTAAATTATAAAAAAGTTCCAGTATTTTAAAAAAATTTTTTAAAATAATTTAAAAAATTTTAATTTATAAATAATAATAAAAGATGTTTGAATTTTTTTATTATTAAAATGCATGGCTTTCAAAAAATATTCCAATAAATTATAAAATATTAATATATTTAAAAGAAATAATAATAATTATTAAAATAATGTAATAATTGATAATTTTTAGGATTTTAAATATTTTATTTTAATATATCATTTTATATATATATAATATATGTATTTATATATATTTTTTTAGGCAGTTGATCCAGTAGAGGAAAAATTTTTAAAGAGAAGCTTTGTTGTCATCGTACCTTTTACACGACGCACAAAATTCCACATTTTAGGTGAATATTTTACAATATTTTTTCACAAATATTAATAAATGCAATAAAACAAAATAGTAAAAAATTTGAATATAAATTTTTAACTATTTTGTTGATTGAATATCAAATGTTAATATTTATAAATATTAAATATATTTAAAAATAATTGATAATATTGAGGATTTTTAATAGTTCTTTAAAAAATTGGTCAGCGACTTTTATTTAAAATAAAACATTGGAAAAATATCAAAGAGCTGAATTAAAAAAAAAACAAATTCGGACTGTCGATAAAAAAGGAATTCAATATAATTTTCCATAATTCTACAAAAAAAAAATATTTTTTGTCACTGTCAGGAAAAAGTCAGGGATTTTTATTTAAAAAAAAAAAAAAAAAAAAAAACTGGAAAAATATCAAAGAGCTAAATTTGTTTAAAAAAAAAATCAAACTTTTGGAAAAAAATACACAATTTAAACAAAAATGTTCACATAATTAAAATAGAAAAATATTTATACCTAATCAAAAAATTATTTTGTTAGTTTTAGGAAAAAAGAAAAAATTTTGTTTAGAAATCAGGGAAAAAATAAATTAAATTTCAATTTCAATCCTAAATAATTAATTCAGCAATTAATTGTGTTTATTGATAAAATAATTGTATAATTTAATTTTTGTTAATTAATTAATTAATTAATTTTTTTTTATTTTTTCAGGTCCTTTTCAATTTTCCAAATATTTGACAAGACAAAGAAAGGATGTGGATGAAGAAAAGTGGTCCCAGCGTACAGTTTTTTTTTATAAATTTTTTTTTCTTTTTTCTCATTTTTTTTTTATAAAATTTTTTTTTGTGCTCCCAACCTTTCGCAGAAGTGCGAGCAAGAAAAAGGGATCTTTGGGAGTTGACCTGAAGCGCTCGAGAAGTGGCGATTTTACTATTGTCCCAACGTGGGATTCGCCGATCGGTGAGTCGTTTTTTATTTAACCCCCTTCCTTGTTTAAAACAGTTAATTTTTTTATTTAATTAAAAATTAGATTCATAAATTGAAAATTAATTTTACATTCTTAATTTAGAAATTTTTGAATTTTTTTTGACTTTAGAAATAAGTAAATATTGATTCAAATAAAATATTAAAAATTAAAAAACAGGGAAGGAATTTTGACAACATAGTGACACCATTGACAAAATTAATGTTCAATATTTATAATGTTTTGTAATTTTTTTTATTGAGTCAAAAGTAATTTTCTTTACAAAAAAAGTAATTTAATCTAAATTTATAAATCTTTAAAATAAATAAATTAATTAATATTGTTAATAATTTTTCATATTTTTTGTATTTAATTTTAAAAAGTTAAAAGTTAATGCATGTGGAATTAAAAAGTTTTTGATATTTTTTTTTTTAATGATTGACTAATTAAATGTTTTCTTTTCAGAAAAGATCGCTCAGGTGACGGTTATGTCACGGGACGTTAACCCTAGTGTAGGTCATTTTGCACCTGGGCGATATTATTTTCGTTTCAAATAAATCTATAGATAGGGAATATGGGGAAAATAGTAAAGAAAATTTTTCGTTTTAAATATAGCTGTAGGCAGGAAAATCGGGAAAAGTAGGCAAAAAATTTTTTTTTTCGTTTTAAATATAGCTTTAGGTAGGGAAATCGGGTAAAACAAAATGTGAGTAAAAATACAAGTAACTGAAGTACCAGTGAACATTTATTTTATTTAAATCTTTTATTTTTTTGTCACTATGTTGTCTTATATTTTAATTTTTTGTAAATGTTTTTTAAGTGTTTTTTTTGTTTTTTGTTTAATTGGCCATTATTTTTAGTTGAATCATCGTGGTGAGCAATAAATTTCTTTTCAATTATGATAATCATTTATTTTTTCAGGAATATATAATTTATTTTTTTAATTTATTCATTTAATTATTTAGTAATTTATTAATTTATTAATATATTTATTATACTACATTTATCATATCTGAAAATTTTATTACTGTTATAAAAATTAAAATTATTTATCTCTACTCCAATTAGTTAACATTTTAATTAATTTGATATAGGTATTTTTTTAACACTTTTATAAATTGATATTTAAATTACACAAAATGTTAACTATTTGAGAATTTAGAGAGTACTTCGAATTTTTAATTGAATCTAAATAACAAATTTTTTTTACTTATCTGCTGTTGCTTTGTCGGGTTTTTTTTTGTAAATTTTATTATGCACTTATTTAATCTAATTAATTTTTTTTTTTTTTAGAAAAAATTACTATAAATTGAGAATATATTTTGATTTTAAAATTTAAATTCCACTGTAAAATGTTTTTTTCTTTCTTTTTTTCCCGCTGCTTCTTTTTTTCAACTGAAATTCACAAAGGCAGTTTTCATTGACCCGGTGCATTTGAAATTGTCGATTGTTTCAAAAGACAAGTCAGGAACGAAGCAAATTGGCGATTGAGTTTCATGAACAATTTACTTGTCCTGACAGTACGAAACGCTCCAAAAAATTTCCATTTCGTTACAAAAAAAATAAAAAAAAAAAAAAATTTACCCTCAAGCGTTTGCAAGCGATTCACTCTTTGATTTTTTTTTTTTTTTTGTTAATTACGTACACGATTTTTGTTTTTCTTTCTTCATGATCAAGCACAAAATCGTGTGAATGATACTAATCTCGTTGGTCATCGAGGTGGAAGTCAGTTGTAATGAATAAAAAAAAGCACTTGAACGAAAAGTATTTGTTTGAAAATAAACCAGTTCTTTTTTTCTCTTTGTTGGAGAATTTATATTTCAAAACAACATTTTGATGTTGGTTATTATTATTTAAAAAAATAACCTATAAAACGAACCTAAATTAAAATAAACCTAACCTATAATTTTTTTTTTGAATAACATATTTTTCTATAATAATAAACTTAACCTACAATTTTTTGCTTCCTTTCTTCCTAGCGCGTTATAAAAAAATCTTTTTCCTACAAAATTTTTTTAATCGTATACGACAATAGTATGATGATGAAAAATTCATTAGACAACAATAAATGAATTGATTTGGAGATGCTTCTTTTTTTTTTTTTAAGTGTACATCTTTTTTTCGCCTGTATGTGTATTTGTAGAGATAGGAAGTGAGTTTTAAATTTCATCGTGGAATTGAGATCGCTCCTCTTCATTATTTAAACAAGCGCAAAAACTGAAGTATCAGCTACCACGCGATTCATTCAGTGAGTAGTTAACCAGGGGAAAATTCTATCGATCTAAAATTGTAATGATGGCAATTTCTTTCGCCCCCTGTCAGCTCCCACTTACTTGAAACTCCATTTATCGTGCAAGAGTGCACCCCCATATCGTTGTTAACTGGCTCAACATTTTGAATGAAAAATAAATCTAATTGTTAATACAGTTGTCAGAAGTATACCTAAATTTTTTTTTTAATTTCTGTTTACTTAAATAAATAAAAAATTTTAATTTTAAACGATTTGAATTTCCCGCCTTTTCATATATGAGGACTATCGAATTCAGAGTTGCCAATGACCGGTTAGTTTCCATTGTCCCCACTTGCCAAAATCCCCACTGTCCATTTTGTCATAATTCTCGTCAACTACCGCACTCTGCTCTAGTGAAAATTTACTTACTTTATAGTAACTTTTAATTTTAACGATAAAGTCAACACAACTATTAAATATTTCAGTAATTAAATTAAAAAAAAATAAAAGTTATTGATTAGTAATTAAAGTTAATAATTAATTTTTTCCAGATAATCCTGACATGGTGGATTTCAATTTTGAAAGGAGATAAAAAAAGTTATCGCAGTGAAGAAAAAAAAGGTTTGTTTTATATTAATGATGAATAACAATGAGCTTAACTGCTTAATAATAATCTAAATTCGGCTACTACTTTTCTAGTAACAAAACAAAATTATTATTCGTAATAATTTTCGTCAACTACCGCACCCTGCTCTAGTAAAAATTTAGTAACTTTATAGTAACTTTTAATTTTAACAATAAAATCACTAAATTTCCACTAGAGCAGGGTGCGGTAGTTGACGAGAATTATGACAAATGTCGAGTGGTGACAGTGGAAACCAATCGACCGTCACCAAACCCAACTGCGCTTGCGCTATTACAACTCTCTCATTGGTAGAAAAGGGCGCTTTTATTTAAAATACTTTATTACAAGAAGTAGTTTAGAAAACAAAATTTCTCGAATATCGTGATCTAATAATGATAATAATAATAATACACTGAAAAAAAATTATTTGATTCAAATAATCGTTTACTTGACTATTATCAAATAAATATTTCAATTAATAAAAAAACTATATTTGGCTTAAGTAAATATTTATTTGTTAATAATCAAGTAACCGATTAGTTGAATTAAATAAATAATTTTTTCAGTGTAATGATAGTAATAATAAAATTTAATATTTAATTACAAAATTAATAATTAATAATTTTTTTTATATTTTTGTATATCGTTATTTGCTATTAAATAATTTTTTTTTGATATTTTTTCAAAATTTTCAATCAGTTCACAATTTTTTTTTTTTATTTACAAACTTTTTTACGTTCTCTATATACAATTAATGACTTAAATAAAAGTATTTAATTGCATAAAGGCAATAATTTATTTTTCTTTTTATTTCTCATCTATTTAGAAAATTAAAATATTTTAATTAAAAGAAAAAAGAAAAAAAAAGAAATGCTAATTTAAAAGAAAAATCCTTATAAAAATTGTGATTAATTTCGTGTTTAAAATTTTTTTTTTACTGCTTTCAAGTTTAGAACTTGAGGGCTTTTCGTTTGATGAGCAAAAGACTTTTCGTTACTCATTCATGGAAAAATTTGACAAACTTTTCCCCGCGCGCAAGCTTCTGAAGAGAAAGTTTTTTTTTTTTTTTTTTTTTTATTTTTTTTTATTTTTAGTTTTCTTTTGGTGCACACCGGGTGAATACCATGAAAAAAGTCATTAGCGAAAAGTTTTAAGTTTGTAACAGAATTACATTTTTATTTTGAGATTCCTGCGATAACTTTTTCCGCACACAATTCAATGAGATTTTTTTCCACTCAAAGAAAGACGTTTTGAAAAAAAAGGAGGAAAAGAAAAAAAAAACTTTTAATTAATGCAAATTATGTATTTTCCTTAAGTTCTCTTTCATGAAACTTATTCATTCTTTTAAATTGCTTCGTATTTTCTCTTTATAATTTAAATGTACGTTAAAATTTATTTTAGAATTTGAAAAAAAGTGATAAAATCAACAAAATTTTTTTTAATAATATTTGATAATTATTTTTTGAAAATTTATTATGAAATTAATATTTCATTTAATATTCCTAATAATTGAATATTCAATGCAATTTATTGTTTCATATTTGCCTTTACTGTTTATTTAATAATTCTATTGAATCTATTATTGTAATATTGATATTTAAAATATTCATATTAAATTAATTACAATATATGAAAATTAGTTTAATAATTTGAAAATCAAATGACAATTTAATATAATTAATATAAAAAATGCGGAAAATTAATTCAAAAGGTATCCGAAAATTAAAAACGAAAATTGATTATACCCTATACAAGAGGAAATTTTTTTTTTCAACTTGAATTTATTAAAGCCCATTGAACTCCAAAGCCGTTTTATTATAGAAAAATTCTCGATTGATTTCCTCCTGGTGTGAAAATTGAGGGAATTCTTTTGTCGTTAGCAAGGTCGAGTTTTGTTTTTTTTTTTTTATATATATATAATCCACAAGAAGAAAGAAAAAGATGGTTAAAAAAAAATGAGAAAAAGAAATATCACGACTTTGATGTGCGCATTATAATGAACATTTTTTTTTTTTTATTTTTTTCCTCCCATGTTAATTCAAGTGATTTCGAATTGCTCTTGATAAAGAAAAGAAAAAAGGAAAAAAAATGCAAAGAATGTTGAAGAATTGGAATTTTTTTTTATTTTTGTAAAA